ACCTCGCCATTGCCCTCCAACCCCTATGGTCTATGCCCGGCTTGGGAGTGGGTGGGAGGGGTGGAGTCACATCAAGTAGGAGGTGCGGTTTCTAGTCTCAAGAAGCATGCACTGGCCAAGGAGACAAGGCTAAGCCATAGGGGAAAATATGTGGAGACCTGTGGACCATGTCCACCTTGGTTTTCTCTAATCATAAAAATAAAAAGGCAAAGAAAAAGATTTGAAAGATGAATCATGAAAAAGAAAATCATACCCCATACTGATTTAGGTCTTATTTTAATTCCTTAAAAATTATAGTTTCAGAATTAGGTCCTGAGACACAAGGAACAAGAGTTTTCTGGTTTTTTCCATTTTCTGATCAAGGAAAGCTTGACTGAGCCGAGCAAGAATGTGTCAAGGATCTCAGAGTCCACCTCATGTCCCAGCCACTGTGACACCCCTTCCTGGATGAGAACATGGTAGGGGAGTCCTGCATTTCTGTAATTACCAGCCCCAGAAAAAAGATGAAGCCTCATTCAGATGGAATAAATGCCTCACATTTGATCATGCCGAACCCCATAATAGCCTTGATGACTGGGATTTACACTGTGCTTTTCCTTAGATGGGCTTAAAACACAGTTTCCTCGAGCCGCCCAGTATCCTTGTGACACATCCAGGATGTGGTGACCACCTGATCTCACTACTGAGGCTGAGAGAGATTTCGTAAGGGACCTGAGGTGGCACAGCGGGCAAAGTCCAAATGGGCACTCAGGGTAGCCACCCCCAGCAGTGACTCCTCCGATCACTGAGCTTCTCTCACAGAGGACTTGATGCCTTCAAGAGACCCTAGTAGTCTCCTCTCATCTGTAACCATGACACAGACACTCTCCAGGGAGCTTCTCCCTGGCAGTGCCACAGACAGATCTTGAAGCTGGGGTCAAAGGCCACAGCAGAAGTCATTCTAACACCATTTGGCCATAGGCTCTGGGTTAGAAAATGTTCCCTTCATATAGGCAGTGTGGTAATACAGTGGGAAAAGCCTGGGCCCTGGGTTGAAGCTAGTGCCCCCACTGCATGACTGTGGCAGGCTTTCCATCCCCCACGTGAACAGAGTGGGTGCTCAGCAGATGCCCCTTTTCCTTCTCACAGCAAGTGGACATACCCATTTTCAATGCACTTTGCTTTTATTTTCTCTGATAGAAAAATGATACATTTTTAGCAAAGAGAATGAAAGACAAGACCAAAATTAACGGAGATGGGGTGGGTGTGGGGAGGTGGAAGAGACAGAGGTAAGAAAAGCACAGGAAGAAAGGGACCATGAGAGACATAAAGAGATGGAAACATCAAAAGGAAGAGAAGACAAAAGGAAGACTGAAAAGAGAAGAGACAGGGACAATCAGAAAATGATAAAGAGAGAGAGGGCAGAAAAGCAAGAAAATCCCAAGAATTAGACAAGCCAAACCCAAAAGGCAAGGTCAGCAGACCTCAGCGTCAGCAACTGTAGCCCTGTGACCACATGCAAAACCCAGAGGCAGCAGGTCTGGCTGCCAAAGACCGATTTACCAAGAGGGTGGGGAGACATTTACACAAGGATAATTCCTCTCAAAAGAAAGGTTTTTCTAAGCAAGAATTATAATTATTTGTATTACTGTATTAATCACCCCAACAATGGCAATTAACGACCACAAGGAGCCCATTCATCAGGTGCCTGCCCTTTAGACACAAAGGGCTTCCGGCTCCTCCAGGGTCACAGGGTGTGGGGGTGCGAGCTGGGGAGTCAGGCCTGCCTCCTCCACCTCCAGCAGCCAGAAAACGTTTCAGCCCACGCCCCGGGGCCCTCTGAACACAAGTGTGAAAGAGTTTCCTACACAAATTCAAGAGCAATAAAATATTATTGAGTTGAATACCTGGAATACCTTCTTACAAAAGCTATTTTTGTTTTATTTTGAATAAATAATACACTTTGAGCATTCTGTAAAAAAAATAATAATAAACTGCTCAGGGCCATGGGAATATTCAGGAGAGAAACTGAGTAGAGTTGACATTTTGTGTTTTTATTACAGACAAGGAGAAAAAGTTCAAGGTATCTTTATTACAGACAAGTATGGAAGTCATATAGGAGACTTAAACAAACAAACCAAATGGAGGTGAAAAGAGTTATTTTGGGAAACAGCAGCCTCCTGGGCCCTCAGTGTTCCTATGCAAGAAAGAGAGGTGAAAGTGTCTGCTCATGGAGTCTCAAAATCAGTGCGACCAGCAAAAAAGGAATTGCCACACTCCTCAGAAAATAAATTTGCCTGTATTCACTTTATCTGATTTCAAAGAGAGGTGAAAGTGTCTGCTCATGGAGTCTCAAAATCAGTGCGACCAGCAAAAAAGGAACTGCCACACTCCTCAGAAAATAAATTTGCCTGTATTCACTTTATCTGATTTTATTGTTATCAGTTTGTCAAATCCACAAGACTACTAGAGATTTTTCCAATGCCATTTATCTCATAGCCATTAACAAGGTAATAGGACTAGCTATCTCTAAGAGAAGGCTACAACATTTCTGCAATAAAGGTGTGTGGAAATTATTTTTATTGTCATAAAAAATTCTGTCAGAGGGTATCCACCTATTCATAATTTCTTTAGAAACTAAGGAACCACTTGTAAGCTGGTGAAACTGAAAATGATTTTTAATAATAATGAAAACAAGATTTCTTCCTGAGCTCATGATAGTTAAGGTGAATAGAACCAAACAGGAAAGGTCCTAGGTTGGCAAAATTCCATAAAAGCAGTGAAATTTCAACAGACCACCAACTCTGCAGCAGATTCTGTCCTGGGTCCAACATTTTGCTGCTACCATCAAACAAGAAAAGCTGTTATCTGTAATGCAGTGCAAACATCTTATGCTCTGACAGCAGGTGGACACAGGGAGGGGGTGGTAAGGCGCAGAGCCAGCAGCCTAGGGAACAGGCAGGAGTTAAGACAGACCCATGTTTGTGTTCATCATCACATCACAGCAAGCATCTAACATAGCTGGGCACTTCCGCCTCAACATATCCAAATAAAATGTGCTATTACAAACTGTGAAAGAGATCTCATTCAGAACTGAAAAGCTCAGATTAAGGATCAACTTATTTTATTTTCAGGAGATGAAGCCACTGTCAGCTCACAGGGTTTTTCTTGAGAGCACTTCAGCACATTGTCAACACTTTCTGCTGGTGCTATGACCTTACACTGGGTGTGAGATGCTGCTGTCCCTCAGGGGCCGGGGTATAGACACAGAGAGTATGCAAAATAGGAATGGATTTAAGGAAATGCTGAGTTTAAAAGCCCGCTAGAGAAGAAACAGGTGGAATAGGGTTTGGCTGGCAATGAATCAGTCCATAATAGACCAAGGGCGTTGCCTGTAAAAGATGTCCGGTTAAAGGGTGCAATTAAAACCCCTATATAAGCACCAGGATCTCCAAGCCCAGTATTCCATGAGCTCTCAGGCCTGAGTCCTTAAGAGAAGAAACAGGTGGAATAGGGTTTGGCTGGCAATGAATCAGTCCATAATAGACCAAGGGTGTTGCCTGTAAAAGATGTCCGGTTAAAGGGTGCAATTAAGACCCCTATATAAGCACCAGGATCTCCAAGCCCAGTATTCCATGAGCTCTCAGGCCTGAGTCCTTCATTTCTCCAGCAACCTAGGTAAGTCCTTCAAGAAAAAAATTATATTTCTGCTTTTATAAATGTTTACCTTTCTTGACACTTTTACATAGACAATATGATTGTGCAGATGTATTTGGCTTTCTGGAAAATTCTATGACATCCCTAACACTGACAAGTTCTTATTAGAACGAGAGGAGCAAAATTCTAGTGGACTTTGTCCAAATGCTAATTTTTTCAAAATACCCCTTTATTGTCATCAAGAAGGGAAGTATCTGAAGAACGGTTTCTGTCTTAGTCCCTAGCCACAGCTATATGTCCATTATGGCTACTGAGATAAATCTGCATCTCCTCCCCCGGGCTTTGAGTTCCTTGAGAAAAGGAACTGTCTCTTATTCATCGCCCCTTCCTAAACCACATCACAGCACCGGCACAAAGGAAATTGTTAACAAATGCTCACTGGATCCGTTTATTCGTTATTATTGCCATTGCAGAATCTTCTAGCTGCGAAGGACCTCAGAGGTCAAGTGGCCAGCAGCTGCATCAGAATCAGCCAGGAACTTCTTAAATGCAGAGTCTAGGGTCCCACCACAGACTTACTGAATCACTCTCCCTGGGAGTGGGATCTGGAGTCTTTATTTCTCTAAAGGTGCGCGGTGATTCTAAAGTGAAGCAAAGTTTGGGAATCACAGACCTAATCGAATATACCACTTAAACCAGGGATCAGTAATTTGTTCATATATCCATTCGCCAAGCATTGATTGAACTCCTACTGTAGTCTAGGCACTAGGATAAATATAAAATAGATAACATATGGTCCTGGCTTTCACAGAACAATCTCTAAAGGAGTCAGATAAGAATCAGGCAATTGGTTTAGTTAGTGTAATACACAGTGACGTATCACAAACAGGGGTAAGTACAAAGAAAAAAGTGACTTGATGCAAATGACTCTCTAGACCTGCTCTTTACCTCCTGGATCAGGCAGTCTATTGTAGACAGGCTTCCAGAAACCTTCCATAAGCACTGCCTACAGGGGACACTTCAGTTGTAAAAAGAGAAGCCACGCTGTCCCCACTCCAGGCGAGTTCTGTGTAGTGCAGTCATGGCTACAGAGCCAAAGTGGCCAGTTCAGTTTCTGCCGTATTCTTTTGGGGGATTATAGTAAAAGCACTATCATTGGAAATGAAAGGTGAACCAAAAATGCCAAATGTCACAAATGCCAACTAGACATCTGGTCAGATCTTTGCACTGTAATCTGCCTCCAAGAGATGGATAAAGAAGAATTTCTCCAAAGAAGAGATTCAAGAATCCTAGAAATCTAGGAAAATGAAACAAGTTGGGTATTATTCATTGCCTTCCAGGTGCGCCACAGTTGGTAAAACAAAATGACTCAGTCTCTTCTGAGGAACATCATCAGTATCATTGATGTTTTCCACGAGCACGCGAAGAGTGGTGGAGACTGCCAGAGGCTGAATGAGACAGAACTCAAGACACTTCTCAAACAAGAGTTTGGAAAGGCCCTGGAGGTAAGAAGGACAGGGACTTACTCTCTTTGCCCATTGACTGTTACCTGGGACTGTCTTCTTGGCTCTGGTGGCACTAGCCTGTCTTGCTCTGCCTCCTGCTTCTTCAGGTGTTGCCACTCAGGGACACTTCAAGTTCCTGTTCCTCAGTCCATCACTTAGGGGTTGATTTTCTCTGGAATTCTCTTCTCATTCTAAGCATTTCCCTGGTGATTTCGCTGTGACTCTCTTTGCTGCAAAAACTATCTGTATGCTGAGACTTTCAGAGTCACCTCATAAGCCACATCTCTCTCTGAGCTTCAGACACATTGAGCATCTCCATTAGATATCGTGCAAGCTTCTCAAATTCAACCATGTCTGTTACATTCTCCTTTTGTATCTCTAGCACTTGTCACCATTCCTGACACATACTCATTTATTCACTTACTCAACCAATATTTACTTAGCATCAAGTATGTGCCAGGTATCTTCCTAGGCTCTGCAGAAGATTAGCAAGCAAAATAGACATGGTGCCTGACAAACAATAAACAAATAAGCATAACAATATACAGTTAAAAACAACAGTAATTGTTAATGTTCTAGGGAGTCAGGGAAGGTTTTTTCAGCAAGTGATATTTAAGTCACGACTTGAAGGATGTGTAAAAGTTGGCTGGGTGAAGAGTATGCAGAAGTGTTCCAAGAAAAAAGAAGATTATGAATAAAGTCTCCAAGTCAGGAAATGGCTTCACGTGTTTAAGGAACTGGAAGAAGTCCAGTGTAGGTGGACAGGAAGACGGCAAGAGATGAAAGTGGAGAGCAAGGCAGGGACTAAATCATGCAGAGCTTTTTAAATGATGTTACAAAATTTAGACGTTTTCCCCAAATGTAACAAGAAGCCATGAAAGAGTTCTGAGCAGAGGAATAGCAAAAATCTATTTTACAGGTTTTTTAATTTGCTTGATGTCTGGGTAGAGAATAGCTTGTAAGGGGGGGGGGCAAAAGAAAAAGCAAGTAGACCAATTAGAAGGCTACTGCAACAGTACAGGCAAAAGACAATGGTAGCTTGGATTGGAGACCAAGCAATGGAGAAAAAAAGAAGTGGATGAATTGATAACATACTTTAGAGGCAGAAACAAAAGGCTTTATTATGGACTGGATTGGAGGGGTAAGTGAGAGGAAAGAATCAAAGACAGCAACTAAGCTTCTGATTTGAGAAACTGGAAGGATGGAGCTGCCATTCGCAGAGATGGGGTGGATGTGATGAGGAGTAGGAATAGAGGGAAAGTCAACAGTTCAGAGTTGGATGTGCTGAATATCTTCTTCCTGTGATATATCACAGAGAAGATGTCACCAAGCAGTTGGACATACAGGTCTGGAGCTCAGGAGAGAGATGTGACCCAAAGACAAAAATCTCATTATCGTCTGCTAGTTGATGATATGAAACCATGGGAATGGATAAGAAGGTAAAAACAGGATGAGAAGAGTGTCCAGACTAAACCCTGAGCAACTCCAATATTTAGAGGTCAGGTAGAGGAGGAGAAATGAGAATAGGAAATGAAAAAATGTGGCTAGAGATATAGGAAGAAAACAAGGAGAGTGAGATGTTATAGAATCTAAGAGAAGAAAATGTTTCCAAATGAAGAATTAGTCAGTTGCATTAACTGAAGCTCAGAGGTCAAATAAGGGGATGATTGTGTCCATTCTGTTTTGGCATCAAGGAAGCCATTTGGTATGGTTGTGAATATGGATGCCTGAATGACATGTGGACAAAAGAAAATGAAGGGTAAAGAAGTGGAGACATTTACAGATTACTCTTTCAAGAAGCTTGGCAATAAATGGTGAGAAGCAATAACGGGTGGTAGAAAGAAAGAGATGTGAGATATAAGAATGTGGTGCACAGGAAGATATTCTAAAACATGAGAGCTAATAAGGCATACTGCTACTCTGTCAGGAATGATCTGCTGGAAACTAAAATGTTGAAAAATCAAGAGAAAGATGGATTATCAGAAGCAACTCAGTCATTTTGAAGGAAAAGGGAATGAACTCCAAAGTACAAATAGATGGATTTGCATATGATAGAAACAGATGAACTTCCTCTTACACAGAGTAGGTTTTGTTCCTTTGCGTGGATAGATGAGAGAGTTCTAGTTTGATGATGTATATTTTATTTTTGAAATACGCAATAGTCATCAATGAGAGTTGGGGGTGTTAGCGATCAACAAATACTTAATGAAACAATACTATATTTGTAATACTTGTTAGGTATAAACATTTCATTAATTGTAATCTCAAAATATAAAAATAGGGCTGGCCAATTCGCTCAGTTGGTTATAGCATAGTGCTGATAACACCAAGGTCAAGGGTTCAGATCTCTATACCATACAGCCACAAAAAAATTTTATATATACATATATAAATATACATAATACTGCCATAGAAAATATTATACAATGAGGTAGCTAACAAAAAGAACTAGGAAACAGAGCTTTAAATGTCCTGTAAGAAATTTTCTAGGTAAAGAAGATATGAGAGAAGGCAAAAATTTTTTTAATGATTAATGAACTACTTCCTTTCTTGATTTTTTTTCTTATAGAAAACAAATAATTCTGAGGCAAGAGAAAAAATCTTCCAACAGCTGGATCAAGATGGTGACAAAACAGTTGATTTCAGTGGATTCATTTTGCTGGTGTTCGGACTGACAAAAGCCTATTATGCATGCATAAAACCTCTTCTCTGTCCTGAATTAAAGGAAAGGGAGAGAATATCTGAAATTCAAGGACCAGAAGCAACAGGGCTCAATGGCAAGCAACTAGAGAAAGAAAAACTCCAAGACAGAGACCAGAGCCAAGAGTCTCAGGATGTTCAGAGACATGAAGAAAGAGACCAGATCCCAACACCTAGTGATGATGAAAGTCATGGAGTTAGAGACCAGAGCCTGGAATCACAGCAAGTGAGAGACCTGAGCCCTGAACTACAATATATTGGAAGACAACAAGTGAGAGATCAGAGGCAAGATTTCCAGGATGTACAGAGACACCAAGTGAGAATGACAAATGATGATAGGCAACAACAAGTGAGGGACCCAAGCCTAGAATCCCAGGGATCTATGAGAAACCAGATCCCAACAAAAAGTGATCAAAGGAGTCTTCAAGTCAGAGACCAGAGGCTAGAACACCAAGATTATTCAAGACAACCTGGTAGGGAGCAGATCTTAGAATCAAGAGGTGATGAGTATCACCAAGTAAGAATCCAGAACCCAACCCCAAGGGAAATTGGGGGCCATAAAGTGAGAGAAGATGAGACCCTAGTATCTGAGAATGTTGGAAACCAACAAGTGAGAAACCAGGCTCAAGCTCCAAGAAATTATGAGAGATATCAAGTACAAGACCACAGACCAGAGGCACAAGATCAGTCAAGGCAACAAGGTGGTGTGCAAACTCTAGAACCAGGAATTGATGAGAGTAACCAAGTAGGAAACCAGAGCCCAACACCAATAAATGAGGGAAGTCATCAAATAAGAGACCATACTCCAACACCAAATGATGTTGGAAGGTATCAAATGAGAGATGAGAGACCAGAATTCCAGAATAATACAAGGCAACGAAATAGGGATCAGACCCCAACACCAAAAACTGGCGAGCATCATGATGTAAGAAATCAGAGCCCAGAACTAAGTCACAGTCGGATACAAATTGTAGAACAGAGAACTTCACCAAGAGAGAATGAGATACAGCATGTTATTTATCAGACCACAGGACCAAGAAATGATGACAGGAGATACCCAATGAGAGAATCAAGTACACAATCCAGAGGTAATGAACCACGACAAATCAGAAAGCGAAAACCAGAGGTGAGGGACAATGAGAGGCAACAGATGACTGCTCAGAATTCAGCACTGATGGATGAAGAGAGACACACAGTGACAGGGCTGAGTTCAGATATAGAAAACAATGAAAGACAGCAAATTAGAGAGCAGAGAACGTCTCCAAGAGAAGATGAGAGACTGGGAATTAGTGTTCAGACCCCAACACCACAGGAGAATGGGAAATACAAGGTGAGGATTCAGACTCTGGTGACAAAGAATGATGAGAAACCCCCAGTGGAAGATCTGAGCTCAGAGCGCAGGAAATATAGGAGACACCAAATTAGAGAACAGAGTTCAGCTCCAACAGAAAGTGGGAGACACCAAGTGAGAAACGAAACCCCAACATCAAGGAATCTTGAAAGATATGAAGTGAGAGACCCGAGCCCTGAACCTGAGAATAATGGAAGACTCCAAGTTAGGGAGCAGAGATCAGCTCCAACAGAAGGTGAGAGACACCAAGTGAGAAATGACACCCCAGCAACATGGGATGATGGAAGGCATCAACTGAGAGGCCTCAGACCAAACCTCAAAACTGAAGAGGGATACAAAGTTAGAGAGCAGAGATCAGCTCCAACAGAAGGTGAGAGACACCAAGTGAGAAATGAAACTCCACAATCAAGGAATGAGGAAAGATATCAAGTGAGAGACCTGAGCCCTGAACCTGAGAATACTGGGAGACACCAAGTAAGGGAGCAGAGATCAGCTTCAATGGAAGGTGAGAGACTCCAAGTGAGAAATGGAACCCCAACATCAAGGGATGAAGAAAGACATCAAGCGAGAGACCTGAGCCCTGAACCTAATAATGATGAGAGACACCAAGTTAGGGAGCAGAGATCAGCTTCAACAGAAGGTGAGAGAAATCAAGTGAGAGATAAAAGAACAGCACCAAGGGATGATAGGAGAAGTCAAGTTAGGGAGCAAAGACCAGTTCCACAACAATACGAAAGATTACAACATAGACCCCAGATCTCAGCACCCAGGGATAATGAGAGAAGCCAAGTGAGAGACCTAGGCCCAGAGCCTAGCAATAATGGAGAATGCCAAATTAGGGAGCCAAGACCAGAAACCAGGTATGATGAGAGAAGTCAAAATAGGGAGGAGAGACCAACTGCAAGACAATGTGAAGGACTCCAACACAGAGAGCAGGTCTCTGCACCAGGAAACGGTGTAAGAAACCAAGTGAGAGACCTGAGTCCTGAGCCCAGGAATGATGAGAGACACCACATTAGGGAGCAGATTCCAGAACACAGGAATGATGGGAGAAGTCAAGTTAGGGACTGGAGACCAGCTCCAACACAAAACGAAAGATTTCAGCATGGAGACCAGATCTCTGCACCAAGAAATGATGTAAGAAACCAAGTGAGAGACCAGAGGCCTGAGCCCAGGAATGATGGGAGAAGTCAATTAAGTGTGCAGAGGACAGCTCCAAGACAATATGAAAGATTCCAACATAGAAACCAGATCTACACACCAAGGGATGATGATAGTAGCCAAGTGAGTGACTTGAGCCCTGAACCAAAGCATGATGGGACATACCAGGTGAGAGAACTGGGCCCAGAACTCGATAATGATGAGGAACAGTACAGCTGGGATGAGAGACCAGCTCCAACAGAAAATCAGAGATACCAAGTGAGAGAACAAACCCCAGCACCTGGAGATAACAGGAGAAGTCAAGTGAGAGATCTGAGCCCTGAACCCAATAATGATGTAGGATACCAAGTTAGGGAACAGAAACCAGCTGCAAGACAGCATGAGAGATTCCAAGATAGAGACCAGATCCCCACACCAAGGGATGAAAGGAGACACCAAGCGAGAGACCTAAGCCCTGAGCCCAACTTTGATAGGAGATACCAAGTGAGAGACATGAGACCAGAGCACAGGCATGATGGGAGAAGTCAAGTTAGGGAGCAGAAATCAGCTCCAATACAGCACGAAGATTTCCAACATAGAGAGCGGATCTCTGCACCGAGAGATGATGGAAGTGGCCAAGTAAGAGATCTGAGCACACAACCTAGGAATGACAGACGATACCAAGAGAGAGACCTGAGCCCAGAGCCTAGGAATTATGGAAGACACCAAGTAAAAGACATGAGACCAGAACTCAGGAATGATGGGAGACAAGAGTTTAGAGAGCAAAGGCCACCTTCAAGAAAGGATGAGCATCATCTTAGGGGCAACAGTGACAGAAACTCTGGAAGAGACATATCTCTGAGAGAACCTGACCATACAACAAAGCAGCAGCTGGGGAAAGAAGATCAAAAGCGTTTTCCCAGGCAAGAGAAAGCTGAGCTTAGAGGTTTAGATCCTTGGGAATCATCATCCACCAGAAGAATTGGTCCAATAACCTGTGAGGTATACTTTTTTTCTAAACAGAAAGGTAACTGGTTATGCTATTGTGTACATGACCCATCTGAAACAACAAATACAAGACATAGGCTCAATTACACAGGTTTGGGGATGTTTAAGAATCACAGGAGGAGAGGATGTTATGGCTACTACCCAATTTGGGATCCAGAAGAAGAATATTCGTACCAGGATGAGGAAGAAAGATGGGAAGACCATGTTGATGACCAGCAGGATTATTGACATCTTTAGAAATTTGGCAACCACATCAGATCCTCTGAGGATGAATTCTAAAGTCACTTCCCGATGCTCCAAGAAATTCTACTTCCTCATTTGGCTAAACCGTTGATTCAGGCATTCTTGACGTTTTCTTTCTCCATAAATGTCAGACATTTAGTTCTAATCCATAATAAGTACAATGCTTCAGCTTTTGGTTTCTAGGGCTCTAAAATTTTTTAGGAATGGCTTATAGTGAAATGAATTATATGCTGTACAATATGCTTCAATAATCCTATGATTTTAACATGAATGAATCATAGCTCTCTCAAGGCTCATCTGAACAGCCTGTATAGTCAAATTATAAACCTTATAAAAATGTAACAATAAATAATTAGCAAGCATTAATTTCTCATTGGTTTTCATTTACTCAGATTGAAAACTGATTTTAAATGTGAATATGATTATATTCACTTTTTGGAGTCTAAGAGAAGCAAAAACAAGTCCTGCTGTGTGCGCTATGAAAGATGCTTCTAAAACAAAACCTCTCCATTGAAAAGCCAAAGAAGGGACAAAATGCATTGTGTAGATGCAAACACACAAACAAAGCAGAGTTTGCAGTATTAAAGTCAGACCAATATAACCCAACATAAAAAGCAATCAATGAATCCATTTTTATTGTTGATGGGTACAGTCCACCATAAAGATATAACTGTCATTCAATTATTCAACAGCTACTTCTTGAGCAACTACAATGTGCCAAGCACTGTCCTCGGTGTTGGGGATGAGCTGTAAACAGGACAAAGCCTCCCGGCATGGAGCTTAAAGGTAGTGAGGGAAGTCATGTGTCAAATATGCCCAACAATACGGCATCCAAATAAAAAGAAGAATGAGCTAGAAATACAAGGGGAAACTGACAGAAAAACAATCGGAGTGTGAATATACCTCCCCATCTTTAGCAGTAAAATAGAAAATAAATAAATTCACAGAAAATTTGTTTAAACTAGTAGTGAAGACCATGTGCTTTGCAGATAAGCCAACCCAGTTTGGATCTGTGGCTGCATCATACTACCTTTGTGATGTTGAGCACTAAAGCCTTTTACTGCGTTAATGAACTAAAATGCTTCATATAGTTCCTGACATATAGCAAGTGCTCAAAAGATGATACTTAATACCTTTTTTTTTACTATTTTTGATCTAATAGATGTATATAAACTCTATACACCTTAGAAGATACACATATTTTTAAGCACCATGGAAGATTTATAAAAACTAATCAGAACACAATTAAAACCTCAATAAATTTCAAAAGGCATAAATAATCAGGTTACATGCCTGATGATAATGCAATGAAACTAGAAATTAAAATAAATAAATATATAAAAAGTACTTAAAATTTTAAAGGCACTCCTCTAAATAACTCAAGAAGGAAAGCAAAACTAAGAAAACATTTTTAAAATAACAACAAAACATCACAAAATATTAGACTCTCCAACTGCAGCATTAAGCATTTTATTTACTAAACAAGAAAGAGTAAATAAAAAATAAACTAAGTATTCAATTCAGTAAGTTAGAAAAATAAGACACAAAACAGACCTAGGAAAAGCAGGAAAGTGAAATATTATTTGCCCCTAAAAAAGAAGGAAGCCCTGCCATTTGTGACAACATGCATGAAGCCAGAGAACCTTATGCAAAGTGAAGTAAGCCAACCACAGAAGGACAAACACTGTATGATTCCACTTATGTGAGGTACCCAAAATAGTTAAACTTACAGAAGCTAAGAATAGAATGGTGATTGACAGGGAGTAGGAGGAAGGAGAAATGGGGAATTGTTTTTCAATGGATATGAAGTTTCTGCTATGCAAGATGAATATGTTCTAGGGATCTAGATATAAGATAGCATCTATAGTTAACAATGTGGTATTGTGCACGTTAAAATATATTAGAAGGCTATATTTCATGTTAAGTGTTCTTATCGAAACAAACCACCAAAGAATATTAGGAAATTTTTGGAGGTGAAGAATATGTTTAGTACCTTGGTTATGGTGATGGTATCATGGTGTATGTATACCTCCAAACTTATACCTTTATACATTAAATGTATGCAGTTTTTTGTTTATCAATTACATCTCAATAAAATTTGGGGGGAAAAAGAATATCAGGAAAAAGGAAAATGTATTTTTAAAAGTAGGAATTCATGAACTAAAAAACAGAATAGCTATGGAATTGATTAATAAACCAAGGAACTCAAGACATTTGATAAATAATTAAAATAATTAAGAAAGAGAAAACAACTTAATTCTTAGAAAGACAGAAAGAGAAGAAGTAAAGGAAAAAGTCAGAGGGAAATAGTAAAAGATTTTCATAGAAAAACTGATTCCAAAAGAAGTATAACCATAACCACAGAAAGAATTGAAAAGGTTGTCAAATAACTACCCTCTCTAAAGCTTTAGGCAAGACTGTTTCACAGGTGAATGTTTTTAAGCATTCATGGAACAAATCATCCCTACACTATTTAAACCCTATTAGAGAATACAAATATAAAGAAGATTTACAGGGTTTTTTTTCAAAGGTAGCATAACCCTAATACCAAAATTCCAAAGATCCCAAAACTACACATCAATTCCATTTTAAAATGTATTTGAAAACCCCTAAACAAAATAATAATCAACATCAGTTTTTCCTTTCACTTGGATGTCATGAAAGAATACTCCGGGCCCCATGCAGACTCATTTTAGGAAGGCCCCAGCTCACCAAGGGAACCCATTCATGCAGTCCATCCTAAACTTGGCAGAGGAGAAAGCCTATGTGCTCATCTTTACAGAGATGCTGAATTTTTTTTAATCCATGTTAAATTTTTTAATTTAAGATTGTGAAAGGAAAAATCCACCTAAAATCAACAGCCCAGCATCACACTTGCTATGGTCTGAATGTATGCCCCCTCCAAACCTCATGCAGAAGCTTGATCCCCATTGTAACAGTGTTAAGAGGATGGGAAATTTGGTTATGGTATTTGAAGGGTGGGGACTTTGGGAGGTGATTGGATCTTGAGGGCTCTGACCTCATGGATGGATTAATCCATTCATGGATTTATGGGTTAATGGTTTAATGGGTTATTAGGGAGTAGACTGGGGGCTTCAAAAGGAAAGGAAGAAAGCATGCAGAAAAGCTCAGCCCTCACCATGTGATACCCTGCATTGCCACAGGACTCTGCACAGTCCCTACCAAGAAGTCCTCACCAGCTGCACTCCTTGACCTTGGACTTCCCAGCCTCCAAAACTGTAAGAAATAAATCCCGCTTCTTTGTAAATTACCCAGTTTCAGGTGTTCTGCTATAACCAACAGAAAACTGGTTAATACAATGTTGATAAGTGAAATATATAGCACTGCTTTTTGCTAGGAAATTTTCTTCATTCCACAAATACTTATGGATTTCCTCGTATGTGACAGACAATGGCAGGGCACAGGCTACACAATGATGAAACAGCTTTGCCAATTAGAGCATAGGGAGGATTACCATTAAAATTATAAAATATAAGAAGAGTTGTGCAGGAAAAGGGTGGATACTATTAAATAAATAAATAAATGAATAAATAAATAAATAGATAGACAGACAGACAGACAGATAGATAGATAAGGAAAACAAAATGTGGATACTATTAAATAAATAAATAAATGAATAAATAAATAAATAGATAGACAGACAGACAGATAGATAGATAAGGAAAACAAAATACAAATCAGAAAGGAGGTCAGGGCCGGCCCGGTGGCGCACTGGAGAGTGTGCCGCTTGGGAGCGCGGCGGTGCTCCCGCCGAGGGTTCGGATCCCATGTGGAGACTGGTTCCCACTCACTGGCTGAGCGTGGTGCGGGCGCAACACCGAGGGTTGCGATCCCATTGCTGGTCCCCGGTACGGGCGCGACACCGAGGATTGCGATCCCGTTACCGGTCAGTAAAAAAAGACAAAAAGGAAAAAAAAAGAAAGGAGGTCAGAGAAAGCCTGTCTGAGGAAGTGATGTAACAAGGATATGTTCCATGCCATGGGATTTTGCAACAATGCAGGAAGAACAGAAAAGAAAGAAACTAGCTACACCAATTCAAAAGGAAGAAGCAAAATGATCACTGTTTGAGATACCAGTGTTTCCACCTAGGACATCTAAGGGAAGTGACTAAAAAGTTATTAGGTATAGAAAGTTTAGTAACATGCAGTTATAGAATAAACATACCCCAAAAAACAATAATTTTCTTATATATACATAGAACCTGTTAAATAATACAATGGAAGATTATGTTTATAATAATAATAACAACATAATGTACTTAGGAATAATGTGAATATGCCTGTGATATAAAACTGACCTAAAGATGTAAAAGAAACTCCGTTACACAGAGACATCTTGTTCTTGGATGGAGGACTCACAATTATAAGGATGCAGATTTATCCCTTTACTGGTCTACACCTCGAATATGAACTGTATAGGAACGATACAGTTTGGGGAATTGTATAAAAATGATTCTAAAATTTATCAGGAAAAATATATAGGCAAGAGTAGTCACGAAAATTTGAGAAAAGATATCAATAAGAGGACTTATTCTATTATATATTAAAAGTATCATAAGCTAAACTTATTAAAATACTGTGATAGTAGTCGTAATATAAAAGAGAACGATGAGACATGATAAAAAGTCCAGAAGTACATCCAAGTAGAACCGTGAGGATTAGTATTTTATGAAGAAGAAATATTCAAATCTGGATGCTCACTCTTTCCAGAAGCATGGCTGGAACAGAAACGGAGATGGGATATAGCTAAAGAGACAAGGGTCAGAGAGGGCTGGCTGGCTGGTTGATCTGATATTGTTTATTTGGTGAGGAGAAGAAGGCAGTAGAGAGCAAAAAGCAGAAAAATGCTGGAAAGAAAGGGGATAATTGATGAAATGAAGACTGAGGAGATAGGTGGGCGGTTATAGGGTCCAGGGCATGGGGCAGGGGCACCTCTCCTGCTGAGGTGGCAGAAACAATTAGCAA